TCTTCTTCTTCTTCTTCTTCTTCTTCTTCTTCTTCTTCTTCTTCTTCTTCTTCCTCTTCTTCTTCTTCTTCTTCTTCTTCTTGGGCCCTCCGTTGACTCAGTTTATATCTTTTCTAGATCGGATAGCCCTTGTTCGAATCTTGAACCCGGGTCGTTTTGAGGAGTTTTCAAGGCTCTCAACCTATTTCTTTGGTGTGGTTCAATCGGAGACGAATCTTAAACTTGAATGTGAAGGGCCTGAATCTGAAAAAAACCCTGAAAATGTTGATAAGGGGCTTTAAATCCATGTACATACTTTTGACTTATTTTCTTCTTCTTTTTCTTCTTCGTCTTCATTATTGTGCATGTTACGATTAAATATTAATTCTTAATTCCCTCAGTTGTGAAAGATGCAGCAGGGGAGAGGGGGGGGGGGGGGTTAAAAAGAACAACTTCATTTTTTTCATCAACAGGACGGGCAATCCCTGCAAAAATAAGTTCGTTCAAATTCAAAGATATTTTAGATTTGGGGCGGGGGGTACACCCTTAAAGTCAAGATTCGGTTCAAAATTATGGAATTTGAGTTGTAGGCATTTTTAGTTTCCTCAACCTCTCCTACAACTATTTCAACGCATAAGAACCCACGATAGACATATTTCTTCCCATACCGGGCATACGCTTGTCACCGCCATTTCTTCAAAAAGTCAATATTTTATTTTTCTAAATCGGCCGTTTTCTCAAAACGCGATTTTTCTCAATACTTTTAAAAATACCTCCACCATTTTTTATCCAGTCTTCATGACATTTTAACAGAATGAAGAAAAGGTGTTATACAAATGAATAGTGAATGAATTTGTTATATATGGAACAGATTTTTGTAGGCGGTGTCTGGAGTGTGCATTTTCACGGATTTTTGGTAAACTTGAATACTACCTCTGGAAAAAATTCGTTAAAAGATTTCTAATTCGTTTAGGAAAAAATCAACAGATACATTTTTAGATCTAATGTTTGCTATCATGCATGCAAAAAAACCCCAATCAATTTCCATGAACGATATGGGTGGTATTCTTTACGTAAGACATTTGTCAACAAAATCCAATATTGTCGCCGTATCCATGGAAACGAAACTTTTTTTCTCAAATTTGATTGCGGATTTTAAGACTCCTTACTAAGCTTGTTATATATGTGAAATATGGTAAAATTTGGTCGGGTAATAAACGAGATAGCCTTCAGGAGTAGCCCCTCCCCTCCCCCCCCCCTCCCCACTTAATGTTGATAACTTTTTTGTGTATGACCCAATTGGCATTTTAAAAATTAATTGAAAGGGGCGAAGGTTTATTTGTTTGAAAAGGTAATCAAAAGGAGACAAAGACTCATGAATAGAAATGAGGTGGCTTCACTGAGTTGAGAATGAAAACAAATCCTGAATTCATATTATTGTATCTTCACCCACCAAAATAACCTACCTGTGTTGCAAGTGCCGTAATCTTGTACTTACTAAAACTAAACAAACAATAATGATTTAAAGATAATAAAAGTAAGGGCACAATGACACAATTCTGATCGTTTTGGGGTGGGCTTTAACCCTGTTTGTCAGGGCAGCCTGTGCTCTTTGCTCGCCGTGAAATCTTCTTTGTCCTGGTGCACACCATGGGCGCAACAGTGAAGGGTAAGACACAGGTCTCGCTAATGACGAGTGCGGGAGCAACCTTTTTCTCCAATTGTTCTTCACTTGGTTCCAAAACATAGGGTCAATCTATGCTCCCCAGAGTAATTAGGGCACATCTTTAGAGTGTACTGGTTTGAATATTATTGTATTACAACGCCACTCTAGAGGTACAAAGTTCTATCTGCTCATTATCTGGTTTTGAGAAAATTGATGCTCAAAATTTAGTGTTTCACAACTTGTCAAGCTTTTTCAAAAGCAATTCTTTGAAAATCTTGATAAAAACTCATAATAATCTTACGATTTGATAGAGCAGATAGCGCATTTGATATCATAGTTACAGTAACTCAAAACCATAACAGAAATGTTTTTTTTTTTTTTTCAGAATGATGTTTGCGCAATTGTTAGGCGAAGCATGCAATAACGAAAAATGTTAGCTCTTTAATTGGACCCGAACTCACCCCCCCCCCACCTCTCCCTCCCCTCCTTTTAAATGAATAGGGTCCTGTCACTTTTAAAATGCCATGTTAACCTTCGTATTTGTATCAAATGGTCAGAAAAGGTAATCTCTCTCTCTCTCTCTCTCTCTCTCTCTCTCTCTCTCTCTCTCTCTCTCTCTCTCAAAATGTCTTTACGTAGCTAGAGTTACTGAAATAAACATCAAAATAATCGCCGCTACAGAAAATCGCTTTCAAAACTGAATTTAGCATTTCACGGAACACTGGAGCACTACTGTAAGGGTAAGCTAAGCTGAAAGACAGTAATCCAAACGCAAAAGACCAACACCAACCAAACAAAGTGAAGCACAACCTCAGAGCACGGGGCAATATGGACGCTGAACAATCAAGCAGGACTTGTACAATAATTTGGGGGCTGCAGGTTAAAAAAAAATACCCAGTGATAAAAGAAAAGAAAAAGAATAAAAGAACAAACGAACACACATTTAATCAATACAAAAAGCAAAACAAAAGAAGCAACTTCTCCTGGGGATGTGACAAGTGTGGAGACATACTAAATATATATATATATATATTCATACGAAAGGTTTTGTGACAAAACAAGTTATATCAAATATTTGAACTTCTACTTATTT